TAGTAGTAGTAGTAGTAGTAGTACTGGTAGTCGTAGTGGTAGTAGTGGTGGTAGTGGTAGTAATAGTAGTAGTAGTAGTAGTAGTAGTAGTCGTAGTAGTAGTAGAAATAGTAGTAGTAGTCGTAGTAGTCGTAGTCGCCGTCGTAGTCGTAGTAGTCGTCTAGTAGTAGTAGTAGTAGTAGTAGTAGTAGTAGTAGTAGTAGTAGTAGTAGTAGTAGTAGTAGTAGTAGTAGTAGTAGTAGTAGTAGTCGTAGTAGACTGAGTCGTAGTAGTAGTCGGAGGAGGAAAGGGATGAGGATGAAGAGGAGGTGGAGGAGGAGGAATACGAGGTGGATGACGAGGAAGATGACGATTAGGATAACGAGGGGCATAATGAGGAGCAGCAGGAGGAGGAGCAGGAGGAGGAGGAGGAGGAGAAGGAGGAGGAGGAGGAGAAGGAGGGAGAAGGGGAGGAGGAGGAGGAGGAGGAGGAGGAGGAGGGAGGAGGAGGAGGAGGAGGAGGAGGAGGAGGAGGAGGGGGGGAGGAGGAGGAGGAGGAGGAGGAGGAGGAGGAGGAGGAGGAGGAGGAAGGGGGGGAGGAGGAGCAGGAAGAGGAGGAGGAGGAGGAGGAGGAGGAGCAGGAGGAGGAGGAGGAGAAGCAAACAATCCTCCCATAATACCCGTAGATCGCCGCCCAATCCTCGGGGACCCCTTCACCCCCTTCCCCCGACGAGACCTAGCAAGACCTTCTCCCCGCTTTTTCCCCCCTCTCCTCCATCTTCTTCTCCTCCACCTCTTCCTCCTCGTCCTCTTCCTCCTCGCTCGTCCGCCTCTTTCTCCTCGCCCTCCTCCTTTTCCTCCTCTGTCTCCTCGAGCCTCCTCCTCCTCTTTCTCCTCCTCCTCGTTCCCCTTCTTCTGCCCTCTACCCCCCTCCTCCTCTTGCCAGCCGCGCTGGCCGCGGCGGAGGCCGGCAGTGGCGACGCGCCGAAGCTGGGCGACAAGTCCCGGAGCGTGGCGGCCCAATTCGGCCGCTGAGGGGAGCCGTGGCGACGACGGGGGCGGCGTCGGCGGCGACGATGTTGACGTGAACGTGTTTTTTTCATCCCCTGGGCCATAACGCGCGTCATGCCCCCCCCCCTCTCCCCCTCCCTCCCCTCCCCACAACGTAACGGCCCCCCCCCCTCCCCCCCGGTGTGTCCCTGGCACTGCTGCAGTGCGTCCGGCACCACAGTCTGCCACGGCGGGGGGCGGGGGCGTTGCGTTATGCCCTCTCCTCCCTCCCCCATCCCCCTCCGCATGGCGCCCGCCATCGCCGCGCAGGGGAAAGCTCTCTCCACCGAGGCGCGGCCACCCCAGACCCCCGACCGTCAGGACGTGTTTGGCAGCGTGGACCCCGGCCCCCAGAGGTCCGGAAACCCCTTCCCCGGGACCAGCTTCGGCACGTGTGCCAACCTTTGGGAGGAGGAGGGGGAGGAGGAGGAGGAGGAGGAGGAGGAGGAGGAGGAGGAGGAGGAGGAGGAGGAGGAGGGCTGGGAACCAGCTTCTCGCCCCCCGTCCCGGCGGCCCGGCGAGGGCACCCGGGCAGCCGACGAGGGCAAACAGCACGGTTCGATCGGTCGCTGCTTCCTCCCTGGCGCGCGGGGGTCTGGGGGCCCTGGCCCTGCCCCCGGCGGGGCCCACCCCGCGGCGGCGGCGGCGGCGGACGTCGCCGCGGGCCGACAGACCGTCCCGCCCCGCGGGCAGTGTTCGCGCCGCCGGGCCCTTGCGCCGCCCCGCGGGGGGGGGAGAAGAAGATGTGGAGGCGCCCCGCGCGCGCGCGGGCTGCACGGAGGGGGCGCGGGAGGCGGGGGGCAGGGAGGAAGGAGCGGGGAGGGAGGGGGAGGGGGGAGGGAGGGAGGCCACGACCACCAGCACGACCACCAGCACGACCACCAGCACGACCACCAGCACGACCACCAGCACGACCACCAGCACAGCCGCCACGATCACCGCGTTCAGCCCCGCCAGCCCCTGAGGCCGACCACGAAAACTACCGCCACTACTAGCGCCCATCGCCCAGCCACTCGACGACGACAGGCCCACGACAACCACCGCCCCTACCACAGCGCTGGCGGCAACCACCACCACTCCAACTGCCACCACCACGCCGACTTCCACGGCCACCAAGGTGACCACCACAACCGCCCCCAACCCAGCGCCCCCTCTTCCTTTTCATCTCCTTCCCCTGCCGCCCCTGCTGGGCCGCCCCTGCTTGCATTTTCCCCTGCGTAATTTAGTCAATTATGTGCCGTTTGTCCTGGTTATAACCCCAACGCCCGGGGGCCCCCCTTGGTGACGGGGGTGGGGACCCATTCGGGTGCCCCCAGGCCTTGTGAGAGGGAGGGAGGGACTGGGGAGGGGGAGGGGGAAGAGGAGGGAGGAGGAGGAGGAGGAGGAGGAGGAGTAGGAGGAGGAGGGCCATTGCAGAACGAGGACACGTCAACGATGTTGTTGAACCATCCCTCCAAGCCCATTCATAGGTTCCTGCAAGATTTTTTCATTGCGGGAAGCGCCCCACAGAAAGACAGCCGCTTGAGAATCCTCCATCGTGCTCCAACAGCATTCCTGGGACTTCCACGCCGCGAGTCAACATGTCTGTTGCGTCCTGACAATCCCCATGCCAGGACGCCGTACCTAGATTTTCAACGCCGCGACTCAACGTGATTGTTGCGTCCTGGCAATCCGAAATCCTACCAGCACCTCATCCCTGGCTGGGTCTTCAACCTTGGGACTCCGTGAATCTGTTGTAGCGTATTAAAAACGGATGTGCGCGGCGTCAAGGCGAGAACCACATTCTAAAAAGGACCCGTACCTCATCGTTGAGATTTTCGCAAACTCTGATGACGAATGTGCGCGGCGCTGGGGCGAGAACCGCGTCTCGAGAAGGACCTGCCCTCAATCCTTGAAGCTATTGAGTACTTTTACAAGGAATGTGTTCGGCTCTAGTGCGAGAGCCACGTTTTGAAAAGGACCCGCCCTCTGTGTTTGAAGCTGTTGCAACCCTGTAAAACGAATGAGTGTGCACGGCGTTCAAGCGATACGTTTTTTGAGAAGTATTCGCCCTCCATCCGAACCTCTGCTGTGATGACGTTACATGACCCTTATCTTATGGGGCGGCCTCGGGAGAAACGCCCAGGCCGCCCTGCCGACATGTCCGGGGGTGCGACAGGGAGGACATCGTTGCACGGAAACCGGGCTGAGGGCCAGAGTAAACCAAATATTCGTGCACGACGTTGCAGTACACCCTCCCGCCCCATGTCCCCTCCCCATGCGCGCCTATTCCTTCTCGTGACAAGAAGTATCTCCCGTGAAAGACCACCACACTCGGGCCTGCCATTCTCGCGAGGGCCCCAGTTCGAAAAAGACCCGGCTCGCATTTTTCCGACGCTTGGTCACGAATTTGAGAAGAATCACGCAGTACAGGTGTCTAGCGATATTCCCCTTGCGAGGAATGGGCCCCTTGGCCCCCACCCCCCAATCGTGTAACTGCCGCAGCAGTTCGCCTTTGTAGTAATGATTTTCGATGGAATTTCAAGCGACGGTTCCTTGTTGAAAAGGTCTCGGTTGAGAACCCTTTTTTGAAAAAGTGCAGTCCTCCCATCTTGCCGATCGTTGCCGCAGCAGAATCGAATGCGCGCGGCGGCGCTGGGGCCAGAGGCCCATTTTCAAATGGAGCCGCTCTCCATCCGTGACATTAGTGACCAGTGCTACCTTTTGTATGACAAGTGTGCTCAGTGTAAGGGCAAGAGCACCATTGTGAAAATGACCCCCCCCCCTCGGCCAGTGCAAGTGCTGCAGACGCTTAAAGACGAATGTGCGCGGCGCTGATGCGAGATCCTCATTTTGGCCCCCCTCCTCCCGTGACGCGGCTGCGGACTCTTGAAGCGAATGTGCACGGGGCGCTGAGGCGAGAACCATATTTTGGAAACGACTTGTGCTTCATCGGCACTTGTTGTACACCTTTTACTGCGAGTGTGCGCGGCGCTACGGCGAGGGCCACACTTTGCACTGCCCCCCAGCCGTGAAGCGGTCGCGAGCTTTCCGGACGAGTGCGCGCGGCAGTGCTCAGGCGAGAGCCGCATCTTCAAGAGGAACCGCCCCCAACCCGTAGAGATTTGGCACATTTTGATGACGAATGCGTGCGGCACGAAGGCGAGAACCGCATTTTGAAAATTACCTTTCTCCACCCGTGAGTCTGTCTCGAACTTGTATGATGGGTGTTCGTGGCGCTCAGGCAAAAGTCGCACTGTGCCCTCTTCCCCCCGCTGCTTCCGTGAAGTTCTTTCAAACTTAGACGAATGCGCGCGGTGCTCCGGCAAGAGCCGTTTCTTTGAAACCACCCGCCCCCCATCCGTGAAACGGTTGCACTTTTTTGTGGCGAATGTGCGTGGCCCTCAGGTGAGAACTACAAATTGAACGCTTTCCCAAGTCCCACCCGTGAAGCTGTTGCAAGTCTCACGCTTCGTGGTCATAAGTGGCGAGGAGGTTGCGACCGAAAGGCCCGGACCGCCCCACCGACACGCTTGGGGGTGCGACAGGAAATAGGTGTTTGGAAATGTGGAGGAGGAGGGGGGCAAGGAGAAGCAGGAGGAGGAGGAGCGAGGAGGAAGAGGAGTGAGGATTGAGGATGCACGATGGAGGATGGGGGATGGAGGAAGGCTGATGGAGGATGTGGGGATGCGGAGGAGGAGGAGTCACGATGGAGGATGAAGGACGGACGAGGAAGATTTGTGGCTGAGGGGGTCACATTCGTGTCTCGCAACCATTTTATGGTGTTGGGTGTTCGTTTTCAGCGTCTCCCATCCTTCCTTCTCCCGCCTCCTTCATTCTCTCTTGCCTCTGCCCTCCGCACGTACATGTCGGCACACACCTCACACGTTTCGTGGCCCCACAGGAATCCCAACCTCATGCCGCAGTGGCGATCACCACATGCGTCCCCGCATCGCCAGGGCCGCCGCCGCGACACGGTAAATACATGGACGTACACACACACATCGATACAGATGGACGTACATACAAATGTCATGTTTCCATGTACATTTATGTACACATATACGCATTGTCATGTACATATGTATATTTGTATACAGAGAACATACATGAACTCATATTTCTGCACATGCACACATACACATATTACACATCTACGCTCATATCAGTATATACGTCTGCACATAAATACAGGTGTACACATGTACGTAGCCATCTAAACACATACATAAACAACTGCATCCGCATATACGCATGTTAGCCAGCGTGGGCCCCACATATTGTGTCTCTATCAATATTTGTTGTGCAATGTACGTAGAGCGCCCTAGCTGGTGCAACCTATGCTGTGCAATCTATTCTGAGCAACCTATGTTGTGCAACCTATGCTGTGCAGTTAAAGTGGTGCGGATCATGCGATGCACTGTATGTTGTACAATCAATGTTGGACACTTTATATGTGATGCAAACCATCTGGTGCAACCGGTGTTGTGCAATATCGGGTGTGCAATCTGTGCACTCTATGTGGTGTGATCCATGTGACGCAATCAATGGTGCAACACAGGTTGAACACTATATGTTGTGCAATCAATGTTGTGCAGTCTATGTGGTGCAATGCATGTGGCGCGATACATGTAGTGCAACCGATGTGGAGCAATGTATGTGGTGCGATCTAGATTGTGGAATCTATGTTGTGCAATATATGTGGTGCCACCTATGAGGTGCAATAGATGTTGTTCAGTATCGGCGGGGCAATGGGTGATGTACAATGTGCGTGGTTCACCCTATGTTGTGCAATCTATGGCGTGCAAGTGCAATCTCTGAGGTGCAACCTATGTGGTGCAAGCGAAGTGGTGCAATCTAGCTTGCGCGATCTATGTGGTGCGCAATCTATGTTGTGCAATATATGCGATGAAGTCTATGTTGTGCAACTTCGGCTGTGCAATCCATGTTGTTCAATGAATGTGGGGCGGCGGCGGCGGCAACAAGCGCGGCGACTGACAGACAGGCTCAGACGACGGGCGGCGACGAGGCGGCGACGGGGCGGCGACGGCGGCAGCAGGCGCGGCGACCGACAGACAGGCTCAGACGGCGGGCGGCGACGAGGCAGCGATGGCGGCGACAAAGGCGGCGACCGACATACATGCCCAGACGACGGGCAGTGACGAGGCGGCGACGGGGCGGCGACGTCGGCAGCAAGTGCGGCGACCGACAGACAGGCCAAGGCGACGGGCGGCGAGAAGACGGCGACGAGGCGGCGACGGGGCGGCGACGGCGGCAACAAGCGCGGCGACCGACAGACACGCCCAGACGACGAGGCAGCGACGAGGCGGCGACGGGGCGGCGATGGCGGCAACAAGCGCGGCGACCGACAGGCACGCCCAGACGACGGGCGGCGAGGAGGTGGCGACGGGGCGGCGACAGCGGCAACATAGCCGCCAGACAGACAGACAGGCCAAGTTCCGCAGTGACAGGTGAGAGCCCCTACGCGCAAGCACTGCTTGGGGAACGTGCGTGTGTCATACCCTCCGCTTGAGCTCGGTACCATTCGCTTTAGCTTGTTTACCTGCTGCTTCTGCTGCTGTTGCTGCCGCTGTTGCTCCTTCCTCTGACGAGGAAGAGGAGGATGAAACAGGAGGGTGTTGAGGAGGAGGAGGATGAGGAGGAGGAGGAGGAGGCGGGAGGAGAAGAAGGAGGATGATGCTGAGGAGGAGGTCAAAGGAGGAGGAGGAGGAGGAGGAGGAAGAGAGGAAGGGACCCCCATTGGTTTCGAAAACGGTTCTAGCATGATTAATTTGAAATGGGGCAGATCCCATGTACAGAGGATTCCAATTGAATTTGAATCCGATTCTGATACGATTTCAATGGGAACTGGAAGAGGTCGCAGCTCCTATTGAATTGGGTGGCTTTCTAAGCACATTTCAAAAGAAATGGGGCAGACGCCATAACCAAAGGATTCCTATAGAGCTTGCATAGGGTTCTAGCACGGTTGCACTAGGAACGGGGCAGATCCCATATCCAGATGAGTCCTACTGATCTCTGGGTCCATGGAGCCCTCACCCCCCAAGTAACGCGCGACGCTGCGGGAGGTGCCGCGGTCGATGTGTGCTTGGCAGCTCACATGTACGACTGCGCGCTGACGTAATCGTGGTGCTTGAAGCCCTCGCCGAACATGACTGCGACCTGGAAGACAAGGGCGTGGTGAAGTGCACTCATGGCACTGGCCAGTGCTGCCCCAGGGGCCCTGACCCCAGTGCATTCCAGTCCAACCAGATCAGCCTGTTCATCCGCCTTTTGCCTCCAGACGTTGTCCAGGCCGTTTCCCCCGCCGGCCCTGGCGCTACCCCTGCGCCGCCCCTAGCGGGAAGCGGCGCTGCTCCGCGCAAGCGCCCCGGGGGGCGGCCCCGCCGTTAATCGGCCCAGCTTCTGGCCCCTCCCCTCGCTTCCGTCGTCGAACGTCTCTCCCCCCTGTCACGCTGCCGCCTGGCGGGCAGTCCGCTGGGTGGCCTCTCCGCGTTGTCATCCACGCGGCGCTTGCCCTGGGCTCGTCCCCACTTCCCCGCAGCGGGCCCCTCCGCCCACGCTCTTCTGCACTCGATGCCCGTATTCCTCGGCCCCCTCTCCCTCTCCTGCGTCTCCGCCACGTCCCCGCAGAGGACCTGCAGGGCCTTTCTGCGTTGGGCAGCGTTGCACTTCCCCGACGTCGACGCCCAGATGGTTATGCTCCTCCTCTCACAGCCTCGTGCTACATCCCCGCTTGGGAGGCCAGCGTTGGGCGGCGCGACACCTCCACGCCAACCGCGCTTGTAGGGCATGTTTGATGCGTGCACGCACGGGATCCAGAGTGATCTCGTCGGAGGGCCCAGCCGCGCGCGCGCCGCCGCTCAACCTTACTCTGCCTCGTCGCTGCGCGCGAGGCCGCGACTGCCAAAAGTGTGTGTGTGAAAGAGAGAGAGAGAGTTTTGTTTTGGTGTGTGTGTGAGAGAGAGAGTTTGTGTGTGTGTGTGTGCTTGTGTGTTATTCTCTTGCTGCAGCTGCGCTGTCTTTACGCTCTCTGTTCGCTGTCTCGCGCTTTGAGTGGGTCGCGCTCGATGGTGCTTTCTGGGCTTCCTCGTGCAGTATCGTGTAGTTGTTACGCTATCTGCATGGCCTCGGCATCTTCCACATGCATTGGTCTCAGCCTCCTTTTTCCGGGCAGTCGTCAGCGGCGTTCTCACGTCCTGATCCCCCATCGGCAGACGTTCGGTGGTAAATCAATCTGAGCGCGCCACGCTCCAGCACTCGCTGCGTTGCATCAACGGGCCGGGAATGACGCATTGTGTGTGTGTGTGTGTGCGCGTGTGTGTCTGTGTGTGTCTGTGCGTGCGTGCGTGCGTGCGCGTGTGCGTGCGCGTGCGCGCGCGCGTGTGTGTGTGTGTGTGTGTGTGTGTGTGTGTGTGTGTGTGTGTGTGTGTGTGTGTGCGCGTGTATGTGAGTGAGTGCGTGCGTGTGCGTGCGTGCGTGCGTGCGTGCGTGTGTGTGTGTGTGTGTGTGTGTGTGTGTGTGTGTGTGTGTGTGTGTGTGTGTGTGTGTGTGTGTGTGTGTGTGTGTGTGTGTGTGTGTGTGTGTGTGTGTGTGTGTGTGTGTGTGTGTGCGTGCGTGCGTGCGTGCGTGCGTGCGTGCGTGCGTGCGTGCGTGCGTGCGTGCGCGTGCGCGTGTGTGTGTGTGTGTGTGTGTGTGTGTGTGTGTGTGTGTGTGTGTGTGTGTGTGTGTGTGTGGTTGTGTGCCAGCCATCAGATGCGCGTGCGGGCTCGCTTTTTTTACCTTTCTTCTACCCCCTGTCGCTGCGGGCAGGGCCGCGACGCCAAAAGTGTGTGTATGAATGTGCGCGCGCCTGTATCTCTCAGGTCGTGCACGCTTAGCGTTCAGAGTTCAAGGCATCAGCTGGGGTATGGATAAAGCATTCGCCCCCGACCCGCCACACTCTTTCCATCCCTGGCCGATGTCCCAGTGCACAGGGACTTCTGGGCATCGGGCCCAGCCGAGCTGCTGCGTAGCACTCCTCCCGCTCCTCCTGCTGCGGGCCCGATTTTCCCCACGCCGACGTCGTCGTCGATGCATCGGCGATGCAGCGGCGATGCGGCGCGATCCTTCGACCCCATCTACTCGGAGCCCACAGGAGGCGCCTCCACATGAGGCCCAGCAGGGCCCAGCAGCTTCGATCCTCGATTCTGGATCTCCCCCTGGTTGGCGTGTCGGTGGGTGTCCTCCGCCTCTCCAGGCCCGCGCCTCGATCCGCTCCTCGGGCCCTGCCTGGGGTGTCAAGGGAGCCAGGGCTCGACTCGGATCAGCGGCCGAAGAAGCAAAATCCCTCCCTCCGAACATGCTGGGTTCCCACTCCCACCAGCCACATGATGGCGTCCATCGCCACTGGAGGGGGCCGAGGCCCTCCCTACGGTCCCTCGGCCAACGAAGATCGCCGCAGGGAGGGTTGCCAACGTACCTCCACAACTCTGACCTCGGTCCGTGGTGATACCCATGGCCGATCCACGATTGGAGTTCCACCAGCTTCCAGACCCTCGACTCCTTATCTAGGGGTTCCTTGTCCAACACCCCCCCAGGGTCGCATCGCCTGCAGAGGCGATTGAGCGAGGCCGCAAGGCGGCTGAGTCCAGGGCCGAGAGAGCGGCCAGTGCTGCACGGGCGAGGCTGGGCCCGTGACCTCCTCTTCCTTGGCGGGGATGTGGCGACCCGCCACGGGTGCCAGGGCCACCAGTGGGACTTCTTTGGACGCGGAGGGGTAAGTGTCCCCCACCGTACCTGAAGGCGCCAATTACCACCACCCAGTGTTTTCCTCCCTCCTTCCGCGCGCTTCCTCCCGCGCGGGTGCCCGCCAGCATCGCGCTGCGGGCGGCTGGGCGGGCCGGGGCCGCCGCCCGTCCTCTCTCCTCGGCCATGGCGCCTCGGCGAGCTCGCAGCAGGACGGGGTGCAGGGATTCTCCTCTCTCCTCCTCGCTCCTCGCTCCTCGCTCCTCCTCCTCCTCCTCTTCTCCTCCTCCTCCTCCTTCTCCTCCTCCTCCTCCTCCTCCCTCCGCCTCCTCCTCCTCCTCCTCCTCCTCCTCCTTCCTTGTCTCTCCTCTCTCCTTCTCCCCCCGTCGCCCTTCCCCCTCCTCCGTCCCCCTCCTACTTCCCTTCCTTCTCCCTTTCCTCCTCCTCCCTCCTCTTCCTCCTGCCTCGTCCTCCCTTCTCCTCTTTCCTTCCCCCCTACTTTCTCCTGCTTCTCCCTCCGTCCCTCCTCCTCCTTCTCCTCCCTCCTTCTCCCCCTCCTTTGGTCGGTAGACCTCTAGCTACGCTGCGTCCTCCGCCTTCTCATCATTTCTCCTTCTCCTCCTCTGCCCAGCGCTGCCCAATTTTGACCCCCGCAGGAGCTCCACACCTCTCGCGCGCGCGCGAGTGCCGAAGGCACTACTCTGGCTTGGTGCCTCCGGCACCACCGTGCACGAGAGTCGGCTCGCATTTCCTGGGGCAGTTTCCTCGTGGCTGTGCTGCGTGCCCACTGTTGTATGGTGGTGCTGCTTCAGCTGCAGCTGCTGCTGCTGCTGCTGATGGTGGCGATGGCGATGGCGATGCCGACGACGATGATGATGATGATGCTGATGATGATTCTGCTTCTGTTGATTATGATGATGATGATGATGCTGATGGTGATGCTGATGGTAATGCTGGTGCAGATGATGATGATGATGATGATGATGCTGATGGTCATGATGTTGCTGATGCTGATGCTGATGCTGATTATGATGATGATGATGATGATGATGATGATGATGATGATGATGATGATGATGCTGATGCTGCTGCTGATGATGATGACGATGCTGCTGATGATGCTGATGTTGATGCTGACGCTGATGCTGCTGCTGACGACGATGATGATGCGGATGATGATGATAATGATGCTGATGCTGATGATGACGATGATGACGATGATGATGATGCTGCTGATGATGATGATGATGATGATGATGATGATGATGATGATGATGATGATGACGACGATGCTAGTGGTGATGGCAATGATGCTGCTGAAACTTGTGGCTCTGGTGGTGGTGATGATACTGATGATACTGCTGATGATGATGACGCTGATTCTGATGGTGCTGCTGCCGCTCATACTGATGACGTCGATGAGCGGCGAGGATGTGCAGTGTTTTTTGTTTCGTGAGGATGAGGATGGTGGTGACGGTAATGGTGATGTTGCTGGTGCTGGTGACGGTGATGGTGATGGCGATCTCGATGGTGGTGGTGGTGGTTTTGGATGTAGTGATGATGACGATGATGCTGCTGATGATGCTGCTGATGATGCTGATCATGAGGGGGATGCGGACGAGGAGGATGAGGAGGAGGAGGAGGAGGAGGAGGAGGAGGAGGAGGAGGAGAGGAGGAGGAGGACGAGGAGGAGGAGGAGGAGGAGGAATTGGGTGCTGATGGTATTGAGGAGGATGCGGCTGACGGGGAGTAGGGGTATGACGAGGGAGAGGTAGGAGGGGCATCGGGGCAGGGGAAGAGCGGGTATGAGGATGAGTGGGCGAGGATAATGAAGATGATCACGATGATGCTGCTGCTGATGATGGTGGTTGTAATGATGACGGTAATGATGACGATGATGCTGACGATGCTGATGATGCTGATGATGACGATGCTGATGATGATGATGATGACGATGATGCTGATGATGCTGATGCTGCTGATGGTAACAATGATGATGATGCTGGTGCTGATGATGGTGATGCGGATGATGCTGATTACGATGATGCTGATGATGATGATGATGACGATGATGATGGTGAGTGTGATTGTGACGATGATGATGATGCTGATGATGATGCTGATGCTGATGATGCTGCTGATGATGCTGCTGATGCTGAATGCGATGATGATGCTGATGCTGCTGATGATGATGCTGCTGCTGCTGATGACGATGATGCTGATGATGATGGTGATGATGATGACGCTGATTCTAATGGTGCTGCTGTCGCTGGTGATGATGACGACGACGATGAGTGGCCGGTATGTGCATTATGTCATGATGTGACGATGGTGGGGGTGGTTGTGATGGTCATGATGATGGTGCTGGCGCTTGTGTTGGTGCTAGTCATGGTGATGGTGATGCTGACGGTGATGACGATGCTGATGCTAATGATGATCATCATCATGATCATGATGATGATGCTTCT